TCTCTATGTCTCTCTCTCTCTGTCTGGCGAGCGCACGTGCCCTATAGTGAAAAAACCTCTCAAAAAAACAAAACAAAACTAAACTAAACTAAATCATTCTTTTTTTTAGAAAAGAAACATTCTTTTCCTTGGATAAGGACTTTCTGGCTTAAAGTTGGCCTGTGGGCTATATGGGTCATCGGAAAAGTCATGATGCATTTTTGCACAGAAAACCATAGAAAAATAAGTATGGCTTTTCTCACAACCCAGTAGTTTGTGTTCTCTTTCTGCGGGGGGATGCTGACCTGAGGGTGAGTGGTCCATTTGGGGGCGAATCCCCCTCTGGCTACCAGGAAGCACATCAGGAAAAGGAAGAGGAAAACCCGCCCTTTCAGGAAGACTGGTTTTGTCATTGGGAAAGGAGCCGTGCCGCTGCAGGGCTGTGTGCGGCCTCTCGTATCTGCTGCTGTTCCTGGTGGAGCCCCGTCGGCTTTGTCAGCCTGCTCAAGCATTCGCTTAGTGCACGTTGCAGAAGGCCCGCCTGCATCCATGCATGTCCCCTCCCTGTGTACCTTAGTGTCCACTTTGCCAGGCAGAAAGTAGAAGTAGAAAGACCAGGGCCTGAATGAATTCCACAGGGCCTGAAATCTTTTTTGGGGGAGTCATTATGAACATTTGAGCAGTGGCCTGGTAAGTAGCTAAAGTACCAGCTGAACATGTGTTGAATAAATGAGCCACGGTATTATAATAACTAGCTGACCGCACCGGGCTTATGCTAAGTGTGTTCCACGGGTTATTGCATTTCCTGTGAACAGCTCTGTGAAGCCGGGCTATTACTGGGTCATCGGAAAAGTCATGATGTGTTTTTGCATCGAAAAATACATCGTGACTTTTTTGACGACCCAGTAATCCCCTGTGCTAGAGGCGGGGGTCTGAGACCCAGGCAGCTCAGGCCTGACCCAGGCACAGAGGGGCAGTGCACTATTAGAACCCAAGCCTCACCCTGGAGCTCCTCGCATGTCCTCAGGTGGCATGCAAAACAAGCCTTTGATGCTGTAGCTTTCTAGAAAAGAGTGAAAACCCCCACGGAGTGAGTGTCATGCCACAGCGAGTGAGGGAAGACGCTGAACTTGTAAACACTGGGCGCTCACAGAGGCTGGTCTGCTTGTCCACAGATCCCCCAGGACAGCTCGGATGCCATCGTGAGCAAGGCCATCGACTTGTGGCACAAGCACTGCGGCACCCCGGTGCATTCAGCCTGAGCGTTCCCGACGGCCACGGAGTCTGCGGGGCCTGCCCGAGCACCTTGCTCTCGGCCTGGCTCTGCTTACAGGGTGGAGAGCAGTCTTCTCGCTTCGGTGCTCCAAGTGTAATTTTCTTCTGCAGTAGAATCATTGCACTGAGAAGCCTGGCGTTGCTGTGCAGTGGAGCAGCGTGCTCAGTGGCACAGATGCGCACAGCTCACCCCTCCAGGACACTAGGGAAGGGCGTCGGCCTAGGAGGTGGGCGTGCACCGACCAGCCGTGCATAACCGAGCCTGCCCCGCCTTCTCTCCAATTAGCACCAAGCTAGTTACTGGTTTCTTGTTCTATTTCTGGAATAAAGAGCCACTTCCTTTGTTGACACCTCGAATTGGCTCTTGTTGCTGCAGCACTTGTTAAAATGTAAGCCGCTTCCTTCTGAGGCCCCGTCTCACTAAACAGGCTTTTCAGAAGCCTGTCCTTCTGCTTTCTCTTGGTGCCAGTTGGGACGAAACCAGAACTGAACAAAATGCGTCTGAATTTGCCCATGAAGAATGCTTGTTAGATACTTGGCTGGGCTCAGGGTTTTTCCTGACAGGTCGCTGAGCGTCGGAGGACGTCAGGGAGCGCCCTCCACACGCTCACGCAGGGGGCTGGGAGCTTGAGGGAGCAGCCGGTCTGTGCCACCTGACGGTTGCTGTTGCCCGGACAGTGGAGAGCGCGAGCGAAGTGAGGCCCTGCGTCTCAGACCGACTGACCCGTCGGCCCTGTGAGGGTGTGGGGAGTGAGTCGGGTCCCTTTCCCACCCCTTAAAAGAGAAGGGAGATGAAGCAATTATGGAGTTCTCGTTCTGAGAATTCATTCCTTCCCTGGTTATAAAATCCCTGTTGAGAAAGTGCAGAGAAGACCGCGTCGTGAACCACCAGCTCGTATCTCAGTACAGGGACGCATCGAGGGTGATTAGTTCTTTTTTTTTCTTGGAGAGTTTTTTGCTATAGGGTGCGTGTGCTCGCCAGAAAGATGGAGAGAGACAGAGACAGAAAGCAAGAGATCCCCCACCAGGGGGGATGGCCACGCCTCAATCCTTTCCCTCCATTCTCCTCTCGGGATCTTGGGCACGCACGCACATGTGCCCGGCGTGAGTTTAAGCCACCGGGTTCGGGACTGGAACTGCATTCGACTACATGGGAGTCCAGCGACATAGCCATTCTGCCAACCGCTGGTCCTAAGAGTGAGTAGTTCTTGAAACAGAAATGCTCTCCGAAGGCATAGCATGAGACGCAGAGCCGGTGCCTGCAATGTGCACGCTCAACAAGGACTTGCCCACCGTCTGCTCAGTGATCGCCTCCACCCCGAAGAACTCCTCTGGTTTTGGGGAAATCGAAAAAACACACGGGCCTCCTGTCTCACGTGCCCCACCCAGAGAGGTCATAAAGCAGAAATCATGTCACTTCTGTCTTGCTCACCAGCCACGTATCATTTGCACAGATTTTTAGTAAAAGGAAGATGATGAAGATGTGATATTAGTGAATCCCCAAATTCCAGAAAACGAAAAAAAAGCATTCGCAGTCTCTCGAGAGTTTCGGGTCTCCGCTCCTCCTAACTCCTGCTTGGATGTGAGAGCCCAGCGGAGACTCTCGGGGAGCGGGGAGGCTGAGGGCCTCAAGCTCCTCTGCTTCACCATTCAGGTGGGGGTCCAGGCGATCTGAAGTGGAGGGCCCTGTACTGCACAGGGGTCTTAAAATAAGCATTCTGCACGTATCTTCTGCCAAGCTCCTCCTTGCTGGCTGTAGTGCGTAGGGTGGGAAACTATCTATCTATCTATCTACCTATCTATCTAATTATTTTTTAATGAGTCAATTTGATACCTGTGAGAGTTTAGTAGAATCTGATCAGCAGGAGGATTTTTCAGGCCCACTGTGAGGACAGTGACAGAGTAGGTGAGGACCCCAGAGTTTTACTTTGCTGAGGGCCAAGTGTTTTGGAAATGTTTCTGCTTGCTGCCTGGCAGGGACAGCAGGTCCTGATATAATAAAAATACCCTTATCTCCTGTTGCTTTAAGACGCTGATAGGATGCTTCAGACTTTTTTTTTTTTTTTTTCCTGTTAAAACTCACTTTCTGTCAAGCCAAAAATATTGTAGCTAAAATGTAGGGTTTTGTGTGTCTCTCAGAAAGTGGAGATGTAACATAATTAATTTGGTTTCTACTCTTCCCCTTCTAGAGATCTTTCCTTCTTCATTTTTTAACTTGCTATAGGCTCTGTGTACTCACCAGAGACAGAAAGTAAGGGAAAATGAGAAAATGTCCCTCCAGGGGGGTGGCCGTGGCACAATCCCTTCTCATTCTCCCCTCAGGGTTTTGGGCATGCACACACATGTCCCTGACGTGTTTTTCAAACCACCAAGACTGGGACTTGAACTACATAGTTGGCCGTGTGGGATCCAACCACCTTAACCACCATGCCGCCAGGTGACCTGAGACCCTTCTTAGGCATAGATGACAGAGTTCTAAATGCGCTCAGCTGGGAGAAATTGAGGGCTGAGGAAGGTTGGAGTGTGTGTGTACAGTATGTAAGATTTGGGTTGTGTAAGGGTGTGTGTATGTGCGGTTGTGCACGCGTGAGGTGTGAATGTGTGTGATGTGAGTGGTCTGTGTGAGGATAGGATGTGTGGTGTGTGTGTGAGGGTGTGTGTCTGTGTGGGTGTGCACATGGTGTATGAGTGAAGATAGGATGTGGAGTGTGTGTGAGGTGTGTGTGTGGGTGTGCACATGGTGTATGAGTGAGGTGTGAGTGTGAGTGGTCTCAGGATAGGATGTGTGGTGTGTATGTGTGAGGGTGTGTCTGTGCGGGTGTGCACGTGGTGTGTGTGAGGTGTGAGTGTATGTGAGTAGTCTGAGGATAGGATGTGTGGTGTGAGGTGTGAGTGTATGTGAGCTGTCTGTGAGGATAAGATGTGGAGTGTGTGTGTGAGGTGTGTGTCTGTGCGGGTGTGCACATGGTGTATGTGTGAGGTGTGAGTGTATGTGAGTAGTCTGAGGATAGGATGTGTGGTGTGTATGTGTGAGGTTGCGTGTGTGTGCAGGTGTGCACATGGTGTACGTGTGAGGATAGGATGTGGGGTGTGTGTGACGAGAGTGTGTGTGTGTGGCACACGAGGAGGGTGGTGTGTGAGGAATGGGTGCGTGGGGGCCTGTGTGTCTGCCGCCCAGTGACCGGTTGAGTGGACAGGTGGCCTCTCGGCAGGCTTGCGTGTGCGTCCGAGCTGGTGGAATGAAGCACTGCTCGTTCCTGGGAAATCACACATCACGCGGGGTGCTGTGGGCTCCCAGGGCCTGCCCGCCTCCGGCTCGTGCTTGCTCACCCGGGTGTGGTGCCCTGCCTGTCCTGCGTTGCTTCAGGGCCCTGTCACGTGGCCGTCACCTCCCCACAGTGACAAGAGGTTTTGTCTTCTCCTTGAAGGTGAAGACCATAGGGCCGGCAGGTGGGGTGGTGAAGATGCTGGATCCCACAAGGCCAGCCTCGTGGTTGAGTCTAGACCTGGCGGCCTGAAAAACGTGGGGTGCGTGTGTGTGCCCCAAATCCCAAGAGTGGAACAGATCGTGGCATGGCCATCCCCCTGGTTGGGGGAGTTTCTCGTGTTCTCTGTCTCTGGCAAGCACATGTGTCCTATCACAAAAATCTAACAACAGAACCAAAAAAGGGAAGTCTCTGGAGGGGAGTCAGTAGGAATGAGGATGTAAGATTGGAGGAGGGGGCCCAGGAGGAGGGGGCCCAGGTCTGGATCCTCGAGCTCCAGCCCCCCAGGTGCCAGCATGGCCCAGCTCTGAGACCAAGCTGCACCCTGTGGGGACCAGCCCGAGTGGGGCACAGGGTGCGGGCATGCCCGTCTGCCTCTGCACCCACACCTGCTCCCACCTGCTCCTGTGGGGTGCTGCTCTATCTGCAGCCGGCGTTTGGTTTGGCAAGGCCAAGGACACCGTCCCTTGGCAAAGGCGGGTGGGAACCCCTGCAGGGAGTCGGGCATTCCCTCTGGGGGAGAAACAAGAGGCCCTTTCTCCTCAGACTCTGAGCTGCCAAGTGAAACTGCCGGTGGCTCCTGGCATGAGCCCTGCCCCAGTCAGCCGTGGATCCTTCAGAGTTGGCACCAGTCTGAGAGGGAGGGGGGAGAGGAAGACAGAGTGGCCGGGTGGGCAGTGGGCATCCTGGAGGCATTGGTAGAGGAGCTGTCATTCCGGCCGTCCCCTCCTCCCCGTTGAGACCCTCTGTCAGCCTTGCCTTGGGGGGTTACCG